GTTCATGGGGTCACGAAGAGTCGGACACGACTTAACGACTAAACAACAACAACAAATCTTACTGAGAAAATATATTTAACTATTTAGTCTTCATTGCATTATGTTTGCATTAATCTGCCCAATGATCTTGACTAATTAATTTTAACTGTAGGTAGAAATGCCTCTGGTGATAGACTCAGCGGTGACAGTACCAGCAACATACAGCTGGCAGAATCTGTCCCTCTTTTTTGGTTTAAACTGACATTGTGTACAGCACTTTTTCAAAGAATTCTAAACACATGTTAAGAAAAAAGTTCTAAAGTTCTTTCAAAAGAATATTAAACTGGTGTTTATAAGGAGTTTGTGTAAGGCCTATCGAGTGCTTTGAAAAGTGCCAGACTGTGATTATATATGTGCAGGCCCCTCTGTGAAAATCAGATGTCTGGATTATCCTGCAGCATAAGCCAAATTGACTATGGTTCACAGTGAGCAATGACTGGAGGGGACAGGCTTGCGGAATCCTGAAATGGTCAATAAGATCTGAACAACTCCAAATCATTATGGACACAACTAGTTATAGTATTATCTTGCCCCTTTCATATTTTCAGGGACTTGTTTTTGTTTTAATTTAAATTAGGTGTTTTTCCTTCCTATGGACAAGGTCCTGGTCCTGGAACACCCCATTCTGGGGCAGAGGGGAGGAAGAATTAACGATAAAATGTATTCTGGCACATGTTGGGCAGATTGGAATATGTGATACATTGGAAGGGTTATTCAGATATGGAAAGACTATAAAACCAGAAGATGGTGTACATGCCCATTGCTTCCTTCAACCATTCCATCTGCAGTGATCTCACAACCCAAATCACACAGCTAGCCACTGATATCAGCTTTGGTGCCTGCTAGGATTTCTGACAACAAGAATGTGGGTGACTGGCTTGGGGAAGTGGATTGAAATTTTTATATTACTAATAAGAGACAGAGACTACCCACTCAAAGATGAGAGGGAGAGTTCCAGAATGGGGGGACTCCTGATAAAATAGAAGAGGTAGACATTTCCCCCTTCCTGCTAACTGGCATTAGAAGGAAATAGGAGAGGTAGCAGGGTATGTATGTATGTATGTATGTATGTATGTATGTATTTATTTATCACATTTATATACTTGCCAGCTCACACAAAGCAACTCTGGGCGGCATACAACAATTAATAAAATAACAAGTGAATAAAGACAGTCACATAAAAAGATTAAAAAATATTATTAAAATAAAACATTATCACAAATTTTAAACAATTTGGGTTTTAAAATATACAAACCCCACAGAGAGCAGAATATCAATTACAGTGGAGCCACCTAAGGATGTCTCCAGTTCCCAAAGACCCCCAGGCCTGGTGACACAACCAGGTCTTGAGGGAATTCCTAAATGACAGCAGGGAAGGGGTGAGCCTAACCTCAGGAGGGAGAATGTTCCACAAGGAGAGAGCCACGGCAAAGAAGGCCTTCCTCCTGGAACCCACCAAATGCAAGTCCTTGGCCGATGGAATGCGTAGCATAGCTTCCCTGCCAGATCTAATGGAATGGGCTGATGTGATTGAGGAGAAGCAGTCCCTCAGATAACCCAGCCCCATGCCATGAAGGGCTTTAAAGGTCAAAATCATCACTTTGAATTGGATCCAGAAGCAAACTGGCAGCCAATGCAGCTCGCAAAGCAGAGTTGTAATATGTGCTCTTCTAGGAGCACACATAACTGCCCGTGCTGCCGTATTCTGAACTAACTGAAGCTTCCAGATACTCTTCAGGGGCAGCCCCATGTAGAGTGCATTGCAGTAGTCCAATCTGGAGGTGACTAGGGCATGAGTGACTGTGAGCAATCCAGGAAGGGGTGCACAGAGTTGTGCAAAGGCCCTCCTAGCCATGACACAAATATGTCAGCTGTTCAAGATAGGTAAGATCTAGAAACAAGCTCATCAAGGATTCCAAGAATGTTTTTTCTTTTAGATTTTTTTTATTCCGCTTTTATTACTTTTATAAATGACTCAAGGTGGTGAACATACCTAATACTCCTTTCTCCTCCTATTTTCCCCACAACGACAACCCTGTAGTATGGTAGAATAATGGATTCTTGAAAGCCTGCCCAAGTTTTTATCTGTCCCATCTTATACTAAACAAAATCAAGGCAGGGTTATTATGAGTTTATTTATTATACTTTCTTCTTCCTTAGGACTGAATTATATTTTCACAAAGTACAGGTAGTCCCCAGGTTAAGAACGCCCAGGTTACAGATGACCCATAGTTAAGAACGGAGCCTATTGTAGCAAAATCTGAGTTAAATACACAATGATTCAAGTTAAATACTCAATGGTTTGAATTAATTACACAATACCACTTATACAGTATTGTACAATAATACTGTTCTGGCTTACATACAAATTTGACTTAAGGACAGACCTTGGGAACTGAACTCTTTCTTAAACTGGGATCCACCTGTATCCTCTTAATGGCTTGCTCGTTAATTTTTCCCTATTATCAAGGTTTCGCCAACCCTAACACTTTACACAGGGCCTGAAAGTGGGGAAGCTTCTTCAACTTCAGCTAAGAAAAAATGGAAATTTTCCCTCCCATTGAAATTCCCAGGCAGGAGAAAGGAGTTGTAGAGAGGACTGAATATGGTGGGGATCAGCTCCAGCTGAAAAAGAAATTGAAATGGAAGAAGGAACACAATGTCACTGAAGACATAAATTCAATGTACAAGAGTAATTCAACACTGAAAATAACACTGGGACTATAAGACTTGTGTGTGTGTGTATACACACACACACACACACACACACACATATATATATATATATATATACACACACTATATTACTATTACACATACATACACACACATCGTATACCAATGTGCTTAGAGCACAGCATACTTTTTTTTAAAAAAGTTATATTACTACTGAAAGACTTAAAGAAACAGTTAAGCTTCTTTATAATTTTGTTATACTGTTTTTATTGTTTGTGAGTCATCCAGAGCCATGTATTTGAGATGGGCAGTCATATAAATGTAATAAATAATAAGTTTGCAATCCTAGTTATATTTAGGCTGGTTATTAAAAGATGACAGATGCATTCCTGTTGATGTCGTTTGCAGGGAAGATAGGGAAGGTTAAAGTTGTAAGCAAAATAGCTAGATTGCTTGATGCAGAAAACAAGATTTTCTAATAATGGGTAGCTTTGTAAATGAAGAACAGATTTTGAGGATAGGAAGATTTCCCTGCAAGGCGTGCTGATGATACATTATAGTTCAATTATCCCCTGCCCAATATGTAGATTGCAACTAGTCTTCATTATTCCTCCCTGAAATTTCTGGGGCTCTTTCTTTTCATTTGTTCAAACACTGTTTCTTCAAAAGAGAGGGAAGCTATCACTGAAATTGAAAGTCTGTCGTTTTTTCTTTCCTATCTCTTTAAAAGAAAACAACAGTTCTTGCTCAACTTCAGAAATACTTCATTTTTTTCCAAAAGGTAATAGAAATATTGCACCTTTTCAGCAAAATCATAGCCATGCTTCATCAGAAATTCAAACAACTATATTCAAGGAATTCTGCCCCTGCTTTGTAAATTCAGCCTTTTTGGAAAGGTGATAAACTGTTTAACAACTGGATACACAAAAAGTAATAAAGGAGGAACATTTTCTGTGTTAGCCAACTTCCCCAAGGGTAACTGCTCTAACTGTGCCTCAGTTATATGATTTTCTGTACAAGCCTGCTGAAATATAGTTTTCCCTTTTTAGTTTGTTTTTTAAGAGAAAAAAAACAAACAAAAAAGAAAAAAGAAAAACAAATGCCGAACGGAATTCATGGGCTGATTAACAAGAAAAAAGTCCAAATCGTCTGCAAAATTAAGTGAATGAGATGAACAGACCAAATGCAGAATAAATGCCTAGTTTGGCAACGCTAAAATTAAGTTTTGTCTGGAAAGAATGAACAGTATTATTTACTGGTACTGCTGTGTGGTGTCCATCCGGTACCTTTTGATATAACCACTAAATGGTTTGGCGATTAGTAACAGCAAAAATATGAAAGCAGAAGTCTTGTTTTGTTGAGAATCTCTATTCCCAACATATTTCCAAATGCTTGCCAGCTGTTTTGCTGAATGTTTTTAAGACAGTACAGTGTAGCCAATAAAGTCTGTGTTGGAAGGAGAGAGGTCTGTATCACAGTATGCCAGATTTTTGTGTGTGTTTTTTTAATCCAATATTTGTTCACGTCTTTCCTCTGTCTTTCTCTCTCCTCTTCCTGAACACAGATCAGCCTAAGCCAAAGATTAAACTACCGTATGCAAAAAGATTGCATTAAGAAAACGCCGTCGTTTTCTGCAGTGACGCGTCGTACGGCAGGAACTTTAGCCTTAGGAGACAAGGGCCCGTGCGGACCAATCTCGGCGTAACACACCTCCCAACTCGGTCCGTGCTGAAAATCTGACAAAAGCAGGCAAAAGGAGATCGCGGAGGCGCACGTCATCCTTGCCAAGGCGTGGGTGAAATGTAGGGGGCGCTGTGGAGGACTTTGGAGGACGACCAATGGAAGGGAGGAAGAGGCGACGCTCAGCGGGCGAGTAGACGAGGGCGGCTCAAGTTAATGCTCGCGCCGCGACGGCGGAACAGAGAGTCGGAGACCGCGAGCGGGGAAGGGCGGGCGAGCGGGCGAGCAGCTGCCCGGTAGAAGCGGCGGCGGTGGCTGAGCGGCGCGGGATCCTGTCTTGAGCGGGGAAGACACCTAAGAGGGTAGGTAGGAGCCGAAGCTCAGTGCAGGCAGCCAGGTCAGTTTCGTTTCTTGGAACGAGGAGCGTTCCCCTGGCTCGGCGAGACCTTTCATCGACGGCTTTTCTCCTCCGCCCGTCCCACCGCAGCCACGAAGCAGATGGCTTGGCCAGTTCCGATCCAGCTGAGCGCGAAGGCAGCCGCTCTGCTTGGGCTCCAGCGTGGCGGTAGTCCCTTCTCTGTTCCTCACGCCTCGGGAGGCAGCCGCTTTCTGTCCGCCGTGCCAAGCTGCGGCTACGCGTTCCGTTGCTTCCGATCCGGTTCGTTGTTTTCTGACTAGGAGCCCCTGGCATGCCCGATTGTGCACCATCCAAACCGCCTCAGTTTCTTTTCTGTAGATCCGTCTTTCCCACGTAGCTCATCCTGATCTTTTACTCCGATAAAATCTCCTTCCACAGGTACTACAGGTGGGTGGAGAAAAAGCACGAAGAAAAGAGCTTCCTCCCGCACTTTCTGATCATACTTTGTAGACTATCAGATCATTGCAGGTGGACTTTACCGTTGTCTGCACTGTATCCTCCTTTTGTGCCACCCTCTACCAATCCCATGTTGCCTCACCACGCTATAAAAGCCTTCATGAGGTATATCCACATTTTACTACAATTGGCTCAGGAAGTGTAACTTACATTCAGTTTGGATACATGTAACCCAACTGACCATAAAATGATCAAATTGGTATTTAATTGACATGCCCTGCAGTGGTATCATGTCCTGGTTATTGTGTATATCTTGATGTAGTATTAAGATTATTTGCTGAGGGAGAAAATTATGCAAGTGGTATCTGATAGGGAAGCAAATATTTATTCAGTCCCATCAGTGCCACAGGTTGCCTCTTGCAGGGAAACCATTAAAGAGCCCTACAGCATCCTAAATGCTAGCAAACAATGCCATAACTGTAGTCCACAGATGTTATGTTATAATAAATAAAGTCGTGTTTTCATTGCCTCAGTTTGCTCACCTGGGTGATTGGTGTTCCCTGTTCTGAACTGGCAGAATGTAAGTAATTTCTATTATCATCTAGTGCAGTAAGTTGTTTCTATAGAAAAAGAAGTAATTATTTGATGTTTATTTAGATATCTAGAAAATGTGCATGTCACCCACTATGAATGGTTCTGGCAGCTTACAAAGGATAGTAAAGGTATCACTCATAAACCTTAAAAATGAAATAATAGGTGTAAAACAAAAAAACTGAAACAGTGGTATTAAAAATCATCAAAAAATTAATATGCTTTGAGGCTTCTCCTAAACCTTAGTAAAGGGCTTGCTTTAACTCCAGGGGCAACAGATTTCTTAATAGGGCCACTGTCCCAAAGAAAACTATGTTTTTTAATGTCAAATATATTTGTGTTACAACCCACAAAACAAGCTTCATTAATGACCTAAAATATAAATTGATAGAATAAAATAGAAAAACAGTGTAATTGAGCAGCTTTGCAATAAAATACAATGCTTGTATCTAGAAAGATAAAACAAAT